ATCTACCCGATTTCCGACAGTACATGGGTTAGCCCGATTTAAGTTGTACCTAAGAAAGGGGGAATCACAGTCATCGCCAATGAGAAAAATGAATTAATACCTACACGGACAGTCACGGGGTGGAGAATGTGCATAGATTATCGCAAATTGAACACGAACACCCGAAAAGATCATTTCCCCCTACCTTTCATAGATCAAATGCTAGAGAGGCTTGCATTGCACTCATATTTTTGTTTCCTCGATGGGTATTCTGGATTTTTCCAAATTCCTATTCATCCTAGCGATCAAGAGAAGACAACATTCACATGTTCCTATGGAACATTCGCATATAGACGCATGCCTTTTGGATTATGCAATGCACCAGTAACATTTCAAAGATGCATGATGGCAATTTTTTCTGATGTGATTGAAGATATAATGGAGGTGTTCATGGACGACTTCTCCGTCCATGGACCCTCCTTTGATGCGTGTCTAACCAATCTTCATCGAGTGTTAGACAGGTACAGCAAGACAAATTTGGTCCTAAATTGGGAAAAAATGTCATTTTATGGTGCAAGAAGGCATAGTTTTGGGGCATCGGATTTCAGATAAGGGGATTGAAGTTGACAAAGCAAAGGTGGAAGTCATCGAGAAACTCCCTCCACCAATGAACATCAAAGGCATTCGAAGTTTCTTAGGACATGCGGGGTTTTATCGATGATTCATTAAGGATTTTTCAAAGATAGCAAGACCCTTAACCACACTCCTAGGAAAAGATGTACCCTTTGTGTTTGACGAGAAGTGCAACCAAGCATTCAAGACTCTAAAGCAAGCATTAGTGTCACCACCGATTATTAGCATTAGTGTCCCCACCGATTATTCAACCTCCAGATTGGAACATTCCATTCGAGTTGATGTGCGACGCTAGCGACTTTGCGGTAGGAGCTGTTCTAGGCCAAAAGAAAGATGGGAAACACCATGCGGTGTACTATGCGAGTAGGACACTCGATGATGCTCAAATGAACTATTCCACCACGGAGAAAGAGCTTTTAGCGGTGGTGTTTGCCTTTGAGAAATTCAGATCATATTTGGTGGGCTCGAAAGTCATCGTTTACACAGATCACGCAACTTTGCGATATCTTCTTACAAAGAAGGATGCCAAACCGAGATTGATCCGATGGATACTGCTTCTACAAGAATTCGACTTGGAAATTCGAGACCAGAAAGGGACGGAAAACACAGTAGCCGATCACCTATCAAGACTAGAAGTACCCGAAAGGTTGCCCATCGATGACTCACTGCTTTGGAGGTTAGTTCTGATACCCCTTGGTATGCTGATTTTGTCAATTATTTGGTAGCCAAGGTGATTCCCCCGGAGTTGAGCTACAGCGGAAAGAAAAAGTTTCTTCATGATGTTCGGGAATACTTTTGGGATGAACCTTTCCTCTTCAAACGGGGAAAAGATGGATTGTACAGAAGATGCATACCCGAAGAGGAGGTACGACAAGTGATTTACCATTGCCATGCATCGGATTACGCAGGCCATTTCGCATCGGCCAAGACAGCTGCAAAGATTTTGCAAGCGGGTTTCTATTGGCCAACCTTATTCAAGGATGTGCATCGGTTTGTGAGTTCTTGCGACGCTTTCCAAAGGACAGGGAATATTTCACGCAGAAATGAGATGCCGCAACATTACATACTTGAAGTAGAGCCGTTTGATGTGTGGGGTATTGATTTCATGGGACCGTTTCCCTCATCTTGCGGGAACTTATATATCCTTGTGGCTGTGGACTACGTGACGAAATGGATTGAGGTATTAGCAAGTCCGAAGAACGACTCTAGCACTGTGACAAGGATGTTCAAACGGACAATATTTCCAAGATTTGGAGTGCCAAGAGTAGTGATAAGCGATGGCAGTGCACACTTTGTTAATAGGATAATCCAAACCCTTTTGACAAAGTATGGTGTCCACCATAAGATTGCCACCGCTTATCATCCGCAAACGAGTGGACAAGTGGAAGTATCAAACAGAGAGATCAAGTCTATACTTGAGAAGACGGTTGCTAAGTCAAGAAAGGATTGGTCATTGAAGCTAGAGGATGCGGTTTGGACATACAGGACTGCCTTCAAGACCCCGATTGGAATGACCCCTTTTCAGCTTGTGTACGGCAAAGCGTGTCACTTACCCGTGGAATTGGAACACAAGGCTTACTGGGCCATCAAGGCTTTGAACTACGATTGGAAAACGGCAGCGGAGAAACGAGTTCTAGAGCTACACCATTTAGACGAAATTCGGCTAGATGCTTACGAGAATGCAAGGATTTATAAGGAGAGAGCAAAAAAATGGCATGACAGACATATCCTCCACCGCACTTTCAAGGAGGATGATCAAGTCCTACTTTTCAACTCGCAGTTGCGCCTCTTTCCAGGTAAGTTAAAATCTCGTTGGTCTGGTCCTTTTAAAGTTAAGAGGGTTACTACTCATGGTGCTATCGAGCTCGATGATGGAAAGGGAAGTTCTTTCTTGGTTAATGCTCAGAGAGTTAAACTGTACAACCCAGGAAATGAACTCGGACCGAGAGGCACCTTAGCCCTCGTGACTCCGTTTCACGAGTGAAAAGTGGTCTGGTCTAGCTGAGACCGAAAAAACAGCGCTCTCGGGGGCATCCCGAGGTTGTAAATACCTTTTTTCCGTTTTAGATATCAAAAAATTCAAAAACTCCCAACATTTTGACCCTTTTTGTCTACCCCAACTCTTTCTTTGAAGAATGAGGCGAACCCTTCTGTTTTTCTCTAGCGATCGCTCAATTTTTGAAATTTTGTGAATCAGTTCATTTTCGGGCTACCAGCTCTCATTTTCGGGCTACCCTCCTGATATTTCTGAGCAAAATGACAGTTTTCAAAATTTAGGGCGCCCTCTCTACATTTTAGGGCGACCGCTTTATCGCGTATTCTAGGGTTTCAACTCTCATTTATCCCCAAATTCGAACCCTACTCTCTCTCAACTTCAGAAACCAGAAAAAAAAAAGGGGGGAAAGAGAAGGAGAGAGAGCTTACCGCGATTTCCGCCGCAGCTCTTCTCCGTAGTCAGTCCACGCTCTCGTCGGTGCTCAGTCGCCGCCTCCTCTCTCAGTGTCGAGTTCTCCACCATTCGCAGCCCTCTTCCCTTTTCCTCTCTCTTCCTTCCTTCAATGGCTGCAAGGTAAACTCCTCTCTTCCCCATATCTTACATTCATCATCTCCATGGAGTTTCTTAGGAGATTTTCGAGCTTTTCATGTCCTATTTGCCCAAAAATTGGTTCTATCGAAACACTAAATGCTTACTCTGAGCCCGAATCTCAAAATTTTTGGGTATTTGCGCCTCCATTGTCGAGTACTGTTTCGCAGAAAAAACGGGCGCCCTACTCACATTTTAGGGCGGCCCTCCCATTTATTCTGCGTTTCATCATCTCACAAAAACATCTCTCCCTTTCTGATTCTCATTTGCGCTAACACTACACCCCTAGCATTGCATTTGTATTTTTCTTTTTGCATTTCATAGGGCTCTTGCAAGACGCTCAAAGGATGAGAAGCTCTCCATGGATGGGTTCTACACTCCAATCAGGTTCGACATCTAAAACCCTTCCACTTTTCTTCTTTCGTTTGACATCGACTTGACACCGAGGACGGTGCCTGAATCAAGTCTGGGGGGAGACACACTAACAAAGTTTTGAGCCTTGTGAGCATTACATAATTACATTTTCATAAAAAAAAATGTGTGTGCATCTTCATCATAGATCCGGATAGAGTTACATGCATTTGTATATTGAGTCTCACGATAGGTCTCTAATTAGGTTGCATATTGCATAAGTTCATATAGGTATAGACATGCATATATGCATTTGCATAAGAGGTTGGTCAAATGATGATGTGGGGGGAGTAGAGCGAGGCTGTTTTGAAAGGCTTGAGAAACCGGACTTGGGATCCCCTTAGTAGCTGAATGGATTGTCGTGTGAAGCAGAAATAGTCAATCTAGTCCTAGAACGAGCGATTGTTATGTGGGATTATTTACCTCCTAAGGTCTAGGCGGATTAGAAGCTACGAACCAAGCGCAAACGTCTCCCCAAGAACCATTCTTCTATCTCTAAGTTTAGTAAGCCCGTAGCATACAAGAAAGCCCGAATAAATAGAGTAGCATCCCGACACTCCGCTGTCATTAGCTCGTTAATGAAAATACTTCGAGGACATGAGAGCATTGGAAACCGATGGCTCGGGTCTAAGTTGTGGGGCGAATATACCAAAAAGGTATGTCACTCGCCAACTTCAACGTCCTAGAAGCCCGGGATGTTTCAAAAAAAAAAGAGAGAAAAAAAAAAGAAACAAAATGAATAAAGAAAGAAGAATAGGGCGAGGTAGAATCACAAAAATATGGGCTAGATCATGCATAGAGATTGTATAGGATGTGTTTGAGAGACATGCTCGGCAAGATGCGTATAATCTACCTTAGATCACGGGGGGCGAAAGAAGTTCCATTAGTAGTCGTTTGTTTGAATGCTAGAGGGTTAGAGTACGCTAAACTCGATTCCATTCACGGTGACTTTTACCCGGATAGACAAGCCAACCTTAGATCCCATTCAAGTTTGATCATAACCTCTCAGGCCTTAGACATTTTCACGATCATGTGTTTCGTTCGAGGACGAACAAACGTTCAAGTCTGGGGGGATTTGATCACACCATCTTTACTTGAGAATTTTATGAGTGGATTGGGATCTTTATCATCGAACTCACATGCATATGAGTCGTCTAGGGGCAGAGTAGGTCCTTGTTTTGTCCATTTCAGGATCAGGTGGTGCAGTGAAGTCTCCGGGAGAAAACAACGGAAAAATCGGACGAAAACGCGGAATGTGGGACAAGAGCAAAAACAGGCTACCGCCCTAGAAAGAGATCTGGCCGCCCTAAAGTGATAGAATGTCTCGAGATTTAACAGAAAATTCAGGAGGGCCGCCCATATGTTCTGCCGACCGCCCGAAAATGTGAAGCATATTCGGGCTCCCGCCCAGAAACACAAAGAGACCGCCCATTTCTGTCTGACGAAATTTATTTGTTGTTTTGGGTCATTTCTAAGCCCATTAGTGAGAAGGAAGAAAACCCTAGGGTTTGCTGAACAAAAGAGGAAAGAGGGAAAGAAGATGAGAGCTTTTTGGCCATTTGAGAGGGGGAGGAACCACTTTGGGGAAAACTGGGAGCTTGAGAGGCTTGGAGAAGAAGAGAAGTGATCATCACCATTGAAGACCAATCTAAGCATTCCTTTCTCTTCTCTATCATGTTCTCCTTTGTTTCTTCTTGTTTTCTTCCTTTGAGTATGGAGTAGAACCCTAGTTGTGGGGGAGGGGTCCCCTTTTGTGTATGAATGTTGGGTTTTCAATCTATGGTACTCTTTTAGTTGTTTCTATTGGTTTGATGTCTTATCCTTCATGCTTTTGATCTTGGCAAAACCTTGATTGAATGATCTTCGAACAACATTGATCATAGACATATGGGAATGGTGTTTTGACCTAGACATCAAATGAACAAAGCATTCACATTGAGAGTGGTTTGACTTGTTTAGGGTTTATGATAGGGGTTGTTAATGCACCTAAGAGTCTTCTAGATCATTGAGAGATGGGTAGTTGATTTTCTAGGTAGTAGATCTAAACTTGAGAGAGAAAGATCTTATACAAAGAGCCTTGAAATTCCCAATTAGAAATGATGATCATGAGTGCCATCACATTTTGAACATCCATACCCGTCAAAGGGACCTCGAACTCACAACATTCGTGTCCAATCGTTTTCATCACACAAGTTTTGTTTGCTCATTTGACCCTCATTTCATATTTACATTTTCACAAACACCTTGCAATCAATATTTTCTATCACCCTTGATCTAATTTAAAGTTAGATTAACGCAACCTAGTCCTCGTGATCGACCCCGATACTACAACTACCGTATACTTGCGGATAGTGGTACAAATCGGGTTATAAATTTAGAACTCGGTGCGTGCGCATCAAACGACACCGAATTTTTCGGTACGATTCGATTTGGAGTGATATCGAGTTTTTCGATACTATTTGAATTGTTCGGTACGATTCGATTCGAAAATGACACCGAATTTTCGAAAATGGCACCGAATTTTCCAGTACGATTCGATTCGAAAATGTATCGAATTTTTTTACGATTCGATTCAGTACATTTTCGAATTTTTTGGCACAATTCGATTCCGAATTTTTCGATACCATTCGATTCGGAGCGGTATCGAGTTTTTCGATATGATTCGATTCGAAAACGAGACTATTGCTGTAAATCTTGGCTGAGATTACAGTCAAAACTCCCCCTCCTTTTTTATAAATGTTTTTTTGAGAGTACAATTAAAGACAGTGGTGGGCCAATAAAACCCAAATACAAGTAATGATGGAGGAGGGCCCAAATATTCAAAAGGCCCAATTTAACAGTTTATGTTTGCCTTGCTTGTTTGTTGACGGCATCTGGAGCTGCTGATTCATTAACATTATGGAAAAAGATTGTGTCATCAAAGTCAATGCATTTTGGAGGAAAATCCGTCTCCAATCAATTGCAAGATTCATCAGGGAGCTTTACCAAAATTCAATTTGCTGCGCATATGAATCTCTGCTCTCCTCTCCTAAATTGGACATCCAACCTTTCCTCAATCATCGTTTGCGGTCCCAGAGCGTCTGCGTTTAGATCCATTATCACCCAAACGCAAATCCACGCATAAATCTCCGTTTCTCAACCCCCCGACAATGTTATCCGACGGGGCTGTTGTCATTACCGAGCTTCCATTGGAGAAGCTGGGCATGAACTGGAGCTCCACGCTTGGATGACCCCCTCCGCTTTCCTCTCTCTCTTCCACCTGAAACTCCTGTCCCTTCCCCTCTTCTTGCTCTGTGAACCTCTCCCCTGCATCTGCCCTGTCTCTGTGGAGATCAACGCATGGTGGTGACGAGTCTGCTACCATGGAGCCTGACGCCACCCGTTGCTCCTGCACCGCCGCTGTACGAAACCACCCCAACAAGGCATGATATTCAATTCAATGGTTTAGTATGTGTTTCAAAGAATGATTTTTGTAACCAAAATCTCACCTTTGAACGCTTCATCGGTGGAAATGAGATCGAGCTGGAGGTGGGTGAGAAGGCGGCCGAGATCGACGCCGGTGGTCCAGCATTCTGGCGACTCTCCAACCTTCAGTTTCAGCCTTCCGCGGCTACCGGTGCCGCCCCATATGATCCCAATCGGCCGAGGATTCTCGCCCTTCATCACGATGAGGCTCCCGCTGTCGCCGTCCAGATCGAACGGCCTCCTGTGATTCTCGCCCACCACGAGGAAATCCGTGAGGAAGCTGACGCCTCTCTCGTCATTGTACTCCAGTGCGTAGGCCAGCACGCTTCCGGTGGTGACGCCCGAGCTTCTTCCGACCTTCACCACCTCTTTTCCGACAATACTACCGACCGGCGACTGTAACTCAACGGCTTTGACACCTCCAATCTCTCCGATGCCGCCTTTGACGGATGTTGTGACTCTTGACATGTCGAAGTCGTCAGCGAAGGGGATGAACGCGCCGTCTGCTCTCACAAACGTCTCTGCATGGTGGATGGGATCGCAAAGTCTCAAGATTCTCAGACAAGAACCTTAACTAAGAGGAAACCAATACAGTTTGCGTCCATTTGTACGTAGATCATCGACAAAGCTAGTTGGGTGGCTGACCTGGATTGGAGCAGGCGAAAATGCCGTACCAGAGATCATCGGTGATGAAGGAAGTGGCCCTCTCGACGGCACCGAGGTAGAGACCAGGCCCGAGCGTGGGTGGAAGAGGGTGAAACATCTTCTGGCTGGGGTAGTCTAAGTTCACTGCTACATGCCGATTGGTCAGAAACCCAACCTGTCGGCTCCCAGTTTGGCTCCTTACTATTGCCCCTAGAGTTCCACACGTCTCCTGACTCGCCACCTTCCGGTATAAAGAGATTCATTTGAAACTTAAATCCAAAGAAGAAAAAAAAAAAGAAATCATTTGAAGGAGGAGGAGGAGGAGGAGGCTGAATATATATATACCTGAGAGCCTGAACCGATTAAGGGATCACTGCCTTGGAGATCATCTACGATCTCGGTGTAGAAATGTTCTTTGGGAATGGGCCGATCAGGTTCTCCGAAATACGAGAACTCCACCACATCCACATCACACCATATCCCCCCTGGTCCCTGTAACACAACAAACATATTCAGTCTTCTTTTCAGACAAAACATCAGTTTAACATTCCAAGAATCATCCAAACCTCCAAAGCAGTAGGAAGGCACTGAAGAGGGCTGAGCCATTGTTTATGTACTTTCCGGGAGACGAAGACAATAATGGCTGGAATATCGGTCAGGACACCATGCCTGATCCGAAACCCGATGGCCGTACCAAGAGTGTAACACCTCAAGATTTTGCTGTGAAAAGCTCGGATGGTCATGAGCTCGAGCAAGGTGGTGGCACGCTGGCCTTTGGGGTCAACGCAGGTGATGGGTTCGGGAGAAACCTCCTTCTGTAAGTTTGAGAAATAGTTAGCCCTCTCTTCTGCCGCATCGTTCAGTCTGCTTGACGTCGGCCAGGAGAAGTAAGCCGCCGCGCTGCACTCGCAGTGTTGGCCGAACTGTTGCATTCTTACCAAAATCTGTTTACCAATACTAACATCATTCTAAAGATAACACAAAGAAACTGTAATCCGAGAGCAAATAGATATTGAATTTTCAGAAAAAAGCAAAAGTAGCAGTACGACTTAATCGTGATGCAAGAACACGGAGAAGTTGGATTTCTAAACCAAATAACCGAACAGAAACGAGGACAAGACATCAATGGTGATGCAAGAACACATACCGACGAGCAAAAAAAAGAAAATCCGTCGTGGAGTGAATCAACAGAAGTGGAGATCAGACGTGAAACCGATCCAAAACTCAGTTCCAGACAGATCCATTGAAACTGGACAGATTCGAACGTGTCTTGTAGCAGATTGCAGTTACGGCAGGGAAACGACAGCCACGAATCGACAGGAACCCCTGCAACTAATGAGAATGAGCTTAGCAAGGGTAAAGTTAGAAGCTTTCTTTTTTTCTCTTTAACAAAATTGCATTTCTTTGGAAAGTTGACAACTTTAGGCTTTAGGCAGAAACAAAGCCATCTTGGTTTGCATCTATATATATTTGTATAAGTGGGTAAGTGGGTGGTGGTATGACGTGTGATTTAGGTCCAGCTTTTGTAATTGGAATCTTTCTCTGCAATGCAATGTTTTGGGCTTCATTTCGGCCCATCAAATGATTTGTTCGGCCCAAATTCCAGTTTTCTTGATCGTGTTGCATTCAACAACCCAATTAGATTACAAGACAAAGCTTAGTGATAATAAAGTACATTATAATTATATTATCGTAATCCGAAAAGTTCGTTATAATAAAATTCTATCCAAAAGGTATAGTATCTTGAAGGCTAATCAAGAAGAGATAAAAAAGAAATCTTTTCATTTATTCCTCAATCTAAGAATCTCCTCCGAAGCGATAATCTTAAAGTGTATATATCATATCTGGCATATTCAAAGTTAGGAATGGAAATTCCATACGTACGTATAGTTTGATTATAATACAATAGTATTATACTACCGATCCTAGCTAATTCAAAGAACAGCACACGATGAAGAAGAAAGCAAATCCATGTACGTCCAAATGTCTTATTAATGATGGGCAACCATGATTACCAGATGGGTAAGCCAAAGATTTAAAAAAAACAATGAAAATCAGTGCTAATTTAACCACACATAAAACAGTTGATCCCTTTTTATTCGGATGATCATGGAGAGAGATAGAGATCCGCTAATTCGTCGAGAGACTCGAGAATGTAAGACTGATCGCCGTTGTCGAGCATCCAGAGGAGATGGTCGAACAGAACGACCTCGCACTTCACCAGAATTACGCAGTTGCAATCCCCGTCGTGTCGCTTCTCTATGAGAGCGTTCAACAAGGGGTGCTTCAGGTGTTGCTTGCTGATCACGTAACGCTTCCTCGTACGGCCCACCAGCACTGTCTCGCTGGATCTAGGGTTTTGTTCCTGTGCATCTTTCACGGCTTCTACGTCTCTTGCCGACTGAGATCTCAGGCTGCTGTAAGATGACGTACGACCCAGATGTCTCGATATGCTCTTGCATTTTCTCAGCATCATCATGCTCATCTTCTTCATCCTGATCTCTTTTTTCCTTTTTTGGGTTCTTCGTGTTCCGGCTTCTCTTTTTTTTGTTTGAAGATGAGAAGCAAGGGAAGAGAGAGAGAGAGAGAGAGAGAGAGAGACTTGAAACACACTCAAAGAGAGAAGGGTATTTATAGAGGAGCGCTGGTATGTCTCTGTTATTAGGGTTCCTAACGAATACATACGATTGGGAACATTGATGGAGGAATATTTCACAAAAGCATGGGTTAAAGGGTCAAAGTTCACATAAATCAATTGCCTTTTTTTTTCCTTTGAAATACCTCACGTTTTCATAATATTTATAGTCATCACCGGTTGATCGAACTAAACGAATTTAATCAAAGCATAAAAATAACTATTTTCCAGATTTTTATTTTATATAATTATATACATTCACACAAAAGGTTTTGCAATGTATAGCATCCGAAATATCTGGCATACATATTCCATCAAAATCAATTGGCAAACAATATCCGATAGGCGGATACATGGAATGTGTAAGTATGTCTCCAGTGTATACAACATAGTATATATGTATACATGATCACCGTATATATACACATACGTCATATATGTGTGAGGGAGAAGTGAGAAGGTGGGTATGACGTCCTTGTAAGTTAGGGTGATGGATGTGGGGTCCGAAATTTGCAGCTGAACCAATCTTTGAAACGACCTTACCAAGTTATCTCTTCAGACATTATTATAATTTTAAAATAAAACGTATTTGTAACATGAATGACTCTTCAAAATATATATATATATATATATATATATATAATATACACAATCACTTTATGGATGACACTAGCTAGTACTGTAAAAATATCACACGACGTGAGTTTGGTATAAATGGTTTTATTATTAGGGTAAGATCGATTGATACATATGTTAGAAGCGGATTCGATATTAAACGGAAGACGGAGATTTACACGGAATGTTAGGATGGATTCTCCACCACATGAGAATATGTAATCATATCGGAGAAGGATTCAAGTTACATGGTAACCCGACAAAGACGGCGCACGTGGACGGTTTTTGTCTCGTTCTTCACATGCTCTCTTCTTCCCTAACCCCACCTTCTTCATCATCATTCCTTCCCTTTTCATTATTATTAGTACATAAATGATATCGTTACTATATGTGTTTATATATTAGATCTTTGTTCTACAGCTTCATATACAGTACCACATGCAAAAAGGATTGCGGACAGAAACTAAGGTCAAATTAATACTAGGATTATCCCGGCCGGATGCATGATTTACACTTTTTGTGTGCGTATGTTTTGTTATAAAAAATAGGCGCAAGTGTGGGTGAAGAGATAAAATCATGATGGGAACACATGGAAACCACTTGCGTGGTGCAGTCAGCAGAGTGAATGATGCATATAATATGGTATGATAACACAAAATGGATGGTTTCGGTTATGGGTATGGGCCGTTAACGTCGGATGCGCCTTCTTGCTTGTCTGCTCTTGTAAAGGGGGGAAAAGAAAGCGATATAACAAAATAAATATGCAACACTTGGTCATCTATCTGTCTTCTTGACGAATAAATTCTCCTGTAAAAAGGACAAAATGTGGTATATATACATGCACACATCTGTAGATATATATATATATATATATATATATATATATATACATACTAAATACGAGC